ACCTTGCTGTGCGGCCTGCAGCACATACGAATGGGCTGCCGGGGGTTCCACCGACTCCTCCAGCCCTGAGTGGAATCAGGTATCCAGGGATGCTGCTGCCTACATTCCGGCTGGCAGAGAACATCTGTCTCAGAGCCAATTTGGGACAGGGTCCAGGGCCACAGTCCCAGGGCCCAGCCTGGCCACACCCCCAACACAGCTCCCACAGGGTGCAGCAGCCCCTAACCGGATGCCCTGTACCCAAAGAGGCTGGCACCCTGAGGACTGGCACCAGCAAGTGACCCTCTGTACCCCTTAGCCCTGGCTCCAAAGTGTCCTTCCAGGTGATCACCCATCGTCATCCCACACAATGTCCCTGGTTCAGAGAGGCATGGGGTGGCCCATCTTTCAGGGGCTGGCACCCATCTCCTGGCAATCCCTGATGCCCTCCCCTCTCTCAGGTCCCCAAGGACCACAAGCTCCCAGAATAGTGACAAAGACCTGGGGTCGTGAGCAAGCTCTGGCTGGGTCCTGGGGCTGCGCACCCCAATCTTCCTGCCTCTCTGCCCACCTTTGTCACCTGGGTCCCCGACCCGCGAGCGGCGCGACAACCTTCGGGCGTGGAGCTGGCCGCGGCGGCCTCACCTGCTGTCCCCGCGAGCGACGGCAACGCGCGGTGGCGCCTCGCTCGCGTCCCGGCCTCCGCCGCGTCCGCTGCACCGCGCACCTCCACGCGAATGGGCCGCCGCGCCCGCCTTCTTGTTGGCCGCATCCCCGCCCTGCGCCCGCCCGCGCCTGGCCCGGCCCGGCCCGGCCCGGCGAGAAAGCCTTAATTGGTAATATCGCCCGGGAGCCGGGGGGCGCGCCAGGAGCTTCTGCGACGCCGCCCCCGGGATGAGCTCAGCGCTCCGAGAGGCTGCCGGCCAGGGAGGGGGCGCCCAGCACAGGGGGTCCGCGGGGCCACGTCTAGGTGACCTCAAGGGCACAGCATGGCCACCTCCTGCAGGGAACCACCTCGTGTTGTGGCCTTCTGTCCCTACCCTAAAGCCCAGGTTGGCCGCACACAGGTCCGATTCTGCCTCAGCCAGGGGCAACGTCTGCTGGCACTGAGAGCTGGACAAACTTTCAGGCTTCCAAGATGTAGCCCTTGAGGACAGGGTCCTCTCAGTGCCACTAGGTGTGGCTTCAAAGTGTAGGGTGTGGCGTGGGGGTGCAGCCAGAGCCCAGTGTCTGAAGCTGCCAGGCCCAGCCACACCCAAGCACTGGCGGACCCCCCCTTCTACGTGCCCATTTCCTGGTAGCTTCAGATTCAGCTCAGATGCCCCTTCCCACGGGGACGCCACATACAGTGGCATCGTTTTAACATCTGTGTGCAAATCCCAATAGGAGCTACATCTTACATCCTGAGCCAGCACATGCTCGAGCACACACGCACATAAACATCTCACAAAATGACATTTTCCCTTACTCTGGTATGTTCTAAAAAGACAGCTGGATGTGGTGGTGTATGGCTGTCATCCCAGCTCAGGAGGCTGAAGCAGGAGGATCACCACTAGTTTGAGGCCAGCCTGGACTACATAGTGAGACCCTGTCTCAAAAAAACAGAGAAAAAGGGAGGGGACAAAAATGAAAGGAGAATGGAAATAGAATAGGGAGGAAAGATAGAAGGGCTTGGTGACAGCTGCCAAATGAGTTTGGTCATCTACAGTTTAACACCAAGAGCAAGGTGCTCATCACTTCTGCGCGGCTGCTGCATCCCCTCCCGTACTCACTTGCCACGGCAGTCTCCCGTGGGAGCCCTCCCTGGGGAGGCCAGGGCACGATCTTCACTTGTGACACCAGGGGGCTGAGCTCAGGCCCCTCAGTCTATGAGGCGGCAGCGCTGGGGTTCATGGCTGAGGCAGTCAGGCAGGGGTAGACTAAGTTAGGGGAAGCCCAGAAGAGGGCGTGGCTGTGTGGCTGAGACCTAGGCCCCACGGAGTTTGAATTCTGCACACAGCTGCTGCCCACTGCACGTACTCTGAACACAGGCCATTCTGTGCCTCAGCTTGTGCCAGGAAGGTTTGTGTCGCACTGACTGTTCCTCACTGAAGATCTTAATAAAGATATCTTTTCCTTGTGTTGAAGAAATCCCCCCCACACTCTTTTGAGACTGTGTCCTGCTATGTAGTTGAAGCTCGCCTTGAATCCATTATGTAGCCCAGGCTGGCCTTGAGCTCACAGTGATCCTCCTGCCTCAGCCTCCTGAGGGCTGTAATGACAGGTGTGCACCACCATGCCCTGCAAGAAGCATCCTCATGTAGACTTTTTCCTTCTAACTTCATTCTTGCTGGGATTCTACAACATACAACTCAGAAGCCATTGCTATCCTTAAAGACTCACTTTTCTTATTCTTGACTCAGAATTGGCTGCTCCCAAGCTCTTTCCCCCCTGGCTGCACCCCAATCTTACTCTGTTTGCCCTTCCCAGAGACCCCTAGAATGCCTCTCAGGGGACTCCTGCCCAAGAGGTCTCTGCAGCTCTGCCAGGTCACTGCCCAGAGAACTGGGTGCTGGCCAGGTGTGCCACTTCCTGGGGCCCTGGGAGAGCTGCTCCACCCTGGAACCCAGTTCCCCTCTGGAGGATGGGGAGGGTGGTCTCAGGTCTGGTGGGAGGGGGTTTCTGGTCAGCATGGAGCTGTGGTACCATGGGGCTACTTAGGCTTTGGGTCCCATGGGGTAGGCACAGGAGGGCCACCATGACTCAGCTTGATAGTGCCACAGTTGAGGGACCATGTGGTGGCCAGTGGGGCGGGGGACCCATGAGGCAGAGCACTGAGGCAGGTGTGCATGGGGCACTCCTTCGGGAGAAGGCAGACCTAGAATTCCTTGACCTCATAAGGAAACAGCCGGGATGTGTACAGGGCGGGGTGCTGGGCGCACACTCCGAACACAGCCTCTGGGAGAGGGGCCAGCCTGCAGAAGGGGGTGTGGAGAGGTGCTGGGGTGCTGGATTCTGCCCAAACTGAAAAGTCCATGAGGCAACTGCCGATGGCCCGGAGCCCACACTATCGTCCCTCTGCCATATACTCTCTTCTCAGCCCAATGAATACTTCCTCCTTGCTAGGGACACAGCAGGGCATTGTCTTTAAGACCTAGCCAAGTGGGCATGGTGGTGCATGCCAATAATCCTAGCATACCAGAGGCTGAGGCAGGAGCATCACCTGGAGTTCCAGGCCAGCCTGGGCTACACAGTGAGTTCAGGCCAGCCTGGACTACATAGCGAGACTCTGTTTCAAAAAAAAAAAAAACCAAATAAATAATAAATAAAACCTAGCCAACAGCAACCCTTCATTAGGATCTCCGTGTGTGGTGAAAACAGGGTTCCATTTCCTCACCATTGCCTGACCTCGTCAAACTTCTGTGAAAAACTGGCTTGTGATCTTCAGCAGCACCAGCCAGCCAGGAGAGGACCCAAGCTCTTGCCACTTTTTTGTCAGCAGGCATCCCAGGCTCTGGTTTCTTCACATTTCCCTCCAGCTCTGGGCTACTCTGAAACGTTACCAGAAACCTCTGTAGTAGGTTGCAGTCTCCTGCTCAGTGCTAGGGTGCAACCCTGAGAAAAAAACTAAAAGACAACTAAAAGTGACAGTACCGGGGAGCCAGGGAGGCTAATGCTGCTTAATTAGCAAAAAACAAACAAACAAACAAAAAAAACGCTGGTGCATCCAAGCCACTCATTTTTATTAGAAATGAATTGGTGTAAAGGCAAGCTATGTGCAAAGGCGGGACTATGTGTGTAGTTATGCGGTTTCTGTGGAAACTAATGGAGGCAAGGCTCAGAAAGGACAAGACAAAGCATTCTCGAATTAGGAACAGAATAGACAAAATACCTGGTTGTAATTGGAACACTGTCCTTCTAGTTAAGAAGGTTTTAGTTGTGGGAATGGAATTTGGGTGCGAGTTACTCTGACCTCAGCACTAAGGCTTCAGCCAGACTCACTTCTACAAACAAGCCAACAGTGGGGTTAGCTCTTCATGGCCTGCTGCTTACAGCCTGCTTTGGGCATGATCAATATTGCGGTCCCCTGCACTGGGCCTGCCCCATGAGGGGCCCCCTAGCTGGCCCCACAGGCCACCAGCCAGCTTTGGTGCTGGGAAAGACCGTCCTTTCCAAGGGAGGTCCTCAGCGACCGTCGGCCAATCAAGGATCCTGAGCAAAGCTTGGCAACCTTCCACGGTATATCCCACGCCCCTCTGCGCCCTGCCCGGCCACCACCTGGGTCCCTTGGCTCAGGGCCACTCGCCAGGAGAGGAAGCCCCCTGTGGCCATGCGCCCACAGCCCGGCCCAGAGGCCCACACACGGCGCAGGGTTGGGCAGCACCGCCATCTGCCTGCTCGCACCACGGGGCGCGCTGTGCCGGTGCTCGCGCCCGTGAAGGTTGTGCGCTCGGCCCCCGGAGTGCCGCCGGCGGCCTCTTGGCCCGGCGCCCCATTTCCTCCCGGGGAAGCGAGGCCGCAGGTTGGGGGAGCTGGTGGGCGCAGGTGCGCGACGAGAGTCGAGCGGGCCAGGAAGGCAGCTGGGGGCCGCGTGGGCTCCCGGCTGGGCGACAGCCTCCGTCCTGGTGCAGCGCACTGGGACCGGGCGCCTCCCACTGCTGCCCTCCGGGGTGCGACCGAGAACTCTAGGTCTGGAGTCCGGGCTAGGCAGGGAAGTAGGGTGACGCCCAGGTGGCTCAGGGACTCGAGCCACCACCAGTACTCTGCCCCACCGGCCGCCACCTCCCGCCGGTTCCTGCGTGCTCGAATCGCGCGCATCCCTCCCGCCTCGCGCGTGTACCCGCGCCTCGACACCCCACGCCTGGACCGGTCTGCACCGCCCAGGCTCCTCTGAAGGCCCCGCCCCCTCGCCGCCCAGCCAATCCCGCACGTTCGTGACGGACAGGCTCGCTGGCCTCACCCCCGCGCGGCCCCGCCCCTCCTCACTGGCCCAGACTGGTCTGGGCCGGCTGCTCCCGAGGGTTGGCCCCGCCCCATGCAGCGCACGCAGCCTGTGGGTCTTACGGCCGTGACGCGAGTGGGACGCAGGTGTGACGCAAGCGCGACAGCTCCCGAATCGCTGGCGTTATATCTGCTGCTCTCCGAGGCAGCCGTTTTTATTCCAACCCCCGGCCGCCCCCGGGCCTTCGCCGCCAGCCTCCCGGTGGCCGCCATGGACGACTACTCGATTCTGTCGGACACCGAGCTGGCCGCGGTGCTGCGCCAGTACAACATCCCGCACGGGCCTGTCGTAGGTATGCAGAGGGGGGCGCAAGGGACGTCCCTGGAGAGCCGTGTCCCCCCCCCGCGCCCCTGACCGCCCCGCGCCCCGTGTCTACAGGCTCCACGCGCAAGCTCTACGAGAAGAAGATCTTCGAATACGAGAGCCAGCGGCGGAGGCTGTCGCCCCCGGACTCATCCGCCTCCTCCTACCGGTTTTCAGGTGGGACTCCGCCCCGCAGCACCACTAGCCACTGCCACTCGGGAGACGGGGCTGGGGCCGCAGGGAGGATGGATCGTGAGGGTGTGGTGGGGCGTGGGGAGAAGGGAGGGAAGCTGGGGGGCAGCTGCTCCTGTCCCCTTCTCGATTCAGACTTGGATTCAGCATCTTCCGGCTCAGACATGTATGATCTGCCCAAGAAGGAGGATGCTCTGCTTTACCAGACCAAGGGTAAGCGCGGGGCTGGGCTGGGCCACTGTGTGCCTGCCCACGCACACGTGTGCGTGCGTGTGTGCGTGTGTTCGTGTGTGTGTGACACTGTCAGTCCCATCAGAGAACCCTTCAAGGGGAAACCAGGAGACCCCCACTCCTTACCAGTCCTAGAAGGCGTTCACATTAGGGCCACTGGCCCAGGTGGGGGAGACCACTGTTTTTTTACCCTTGTCCCCTCCAAAGGCTACAACGATGATTACTATGAGGAGAGTTATCTGAGCACCAGGATTTATGGGGAGCCTGAGGCCAAGGGCTTCCGCCAGCCAGTGACATCCTTCTCGGATCCTGACACCTTCCATCACCAGGTTAGCGAGCTGACTGTCACAGCTTGGGTGTGGCCTTCAGTCACAGCTGGGTGAAAAAATCCAGGCAGCTACTGAGAGCGAATGGTGGCTCCTAGGTCCTCAGAGAGAGTCAGCACATAGCTCTTTGGTCGAAGCCTGTTTTGGGGGTCCATCAAAACTATTTGATTAGGGCCTAGGTGTGTAGCTCAATAGTAGAGCACTTGCCTGGGAGTTGATGCCTAGTATCCCAAACTATAAAAAATTTGATGAGAAGCCAGGTGTGGTGGTGCATGTGCCTGTGCTTGCAGTACAGGAGGCTGAGGCAGGAGGATCCCTGAGCATTCCAGGCCAGCCTGGACTACATAGGGAGACTCTCAATTTTAAAAAAGACAGTGCCTGGGGTGTGGCCTGGGATCTGGGCTCATGTACTTTCAGAAAAGCCTGTGTGTGGGGGGGGTGTTGGGTACAGACAGCTGGGACAGTCTTCCTGAAGACAAGAGCCCAGGAGCCCGGTATGGTTGGGGCTGGGGGGGAGCAGGTGTTGATCTTTGAGCAGGGTCAGTGCAGGCAGGCCAAGACATTTGGTCTGAGGTAGGACAGGGCCGTTACTGCCTGCCAGGCTCCTGAGCATCTCTCTTGCAGGTGCGTGAGGAGAGCGTCTTCTCTGAAGAGGATGGCAGGGACAGGTGAGCAGTGCACAGGCCCAGGGTGGGGGCAGGCCCGGGGCTCAGCCCTCCTGGCCTACCTGCGCCCTTCTTTTGCTGCAGGGAGCGCCCTGTCTACGGCCGGGACAGTGCCTACCAGAGCATCGCGCACTACCGCCCCGCCTCCAGCATCTCCAGGGGGTCCGTGGGCTTCTCCTACTACCCGGGATCACCCACCTCTTCCGGGTCCTCATCCTCATCCTCTCCACCTTCGTGGCTCACCCGCCGGGCCATCCGGCCTGAAAAGCAGGCCTCTGCAGCGGTGGTGGCCCAGGAGCGCCGGGTCCCACTCTGGGGCCAGCTGGTACTCTTCTTGGTGTTTGCTGCCTTCCTGCTCTTTGTCTATTACTCCATACAGGCTGAGGAAGGCAACCCCTTCTGGATGGATCCCTGAGGGCCCCACTTGGAGCTGGCTCGGGGAGCCTGGCTGGCTGCCTTAGCAGTGTTCTGGGGGTGGGGGTGGGGTGTTGCTGTGTGTTCTAGCTTGGGGTGCCGGGCTTGCCCAGGGCAGTGCCTGCCCTGCCGCCTGGCCCTGCCTTCCTTGGGAGCCTCCCACCCCTCCTTGCCTCTGAGCCTTGAAACTGGGCCGAAACCTTGTCCTTCCAAGGGGAACATAATTGTTGTTCTGCATGCCACCTCTTGTTCATTGTCACCTGTTGTGGGATCAAGTAAAGGCCGCCCTGATACTGTTTTCATGGACACACAATAAAAGACCGTTTATTTTTACCGTGGCGGCACAAGTCCCTGGGTCCTGTGTGGCTGCTGCCTGGTTGGGTCTGCATCGTTGCCTCGGTCTTGGGAGTGGGAAGAAATGCTACCCGTAGATATGTTCCTGTTTCGTTTGTAGGTTTTATTTCCTGACTCATTTCCTGGAGCACTTGTGACTACTTAGAGACATGACTACCATATGACAAAGTGTGTTGACAACCAGTTTGGGGACACAGGTAAAGCTGTGTGGATAGTACTAACTGTAGGTATTTTTACACATTTGGAGGCACAGGGATGAAAAAGAAATGACATGCTAGGTGCTGGGTTATGCTCCTGTAATCACAGCACTCCCGGAGGCTGAGGCAGGAAGATTGCAAGTTGAAGCCCAACCTGGGCAACTTATCAACTTAGTAAGACCCTGTCTTAAAATTAAAAGGAACCGTGGGCCAGGTGTGGTAGCCCACACCTGTAATCCTAGCACTTGGGAGGCTGAGGCAAGAGGATCACTGTGAGTTTGAGGCCAGCCGGGGCTACATAGTGAGATCCTATCTCAAAAAAACAAAATGAAAGAAAAAACAACAGAAAACAAAAACACCATGGGATCCTGGTGATCGGTCATTGCTCAGCACCACAGGGGCAGGTGCACAGGATTGGTGGGAAGCAGAGCCATAGCCAGGGATCAGGCCCTGGCTTCAGTCCTCTGGCCTGTGACCTGCTCCTTGCTACAGGTGGCCACACTCAGCCCAGCCATGTGCAGTATCTGCACATGTGCCCCTGAGCAATCAGGGCTCTTGGCTGTCTTAGCCATGCAGTCTGGCAGGACAGGAACCCTCTTTATCTGCACCCTCGTCTCCCCAGTGCTTCTGATCCAGAAGTAATAGGTGGTTCTTGTGCATTTAAAACATATAGAAAAGGGACTACCGTGTGGTGTAGCTCAGTCCTTGCTTCAATCCCCAGCACCAAAAGTAAGACAAGCAGATAGGAACAAACCACTTCTTTCCTGAGTGCTCCTGTGACCTCAGCCTGCCTAATGGGCTGCCTCCCACTTGGCCCATTTCCCATCCCCCAGCAGCTACTTCGTGGACCCTAGGCCCCTCCCTTCTGCCCCTTGCTGCCTTAGGCAACACACAAGGTATTGAGGGCTGGTGCTACCACAAGGCCAAGGCCCTCATGATTCTCTGGGAGACCTGGGCATGCGTGGGCAGGAGGTGCCGCCTTCTCAAAGCACTGCAATAAGGACCTGGTGGCCACACCACTGCACCTGTGCGTGGGGTGCAAAAACAAGCAGTGAGTCCTCACAAGGACTTAGGGACACAGTGACACATCCTCCTACTCAGAAGTAGGAATGCTGAGAGGAAGGACTGAGTCATCGCTCGGGATTGCTGGGGGACAGGACCCGGACCCGTGGGGACCAGCAGAAATGCAGGGGCTCTGGCAGAAGCCCTGATGGCTTGGGCTGGTGGCCATCCTGAGGATGGGTGCAGGCACACTGAGGCTTCAGGACAGACCGACCTCAGGTCTCAGGCCCTGGATCTGCTACCCGAGGGGCGGGCACAGCAGGTGGCTGGGTGTATGTGGGAGCCATGCAGATAGCTGGCAGCAGAGAGGAGAAGCCACCCAAGGGTTTCAGTGTCCCCCTTTCTCATCTGTTCACTGTTCCAAGGACTCCAGGTCTCTACCTGGCCAAGGAGCAGACAGAAGATGGCTGAGGCTGTACCAGGTGGCACCATGCCCACCTTCCTGACCACTCAAACGGAAGGCCTCCACTGGCCCCAGTCCTCAGGGACCCGAGGGTGCCAAAGCCCATGTCCCACCCAGTCCCTAGCACTCGCAAGTGCTCAATCACAGGGACCTTGAGGAGGAGAGGCCCCAAAGGCTTCTGCGGTCACCATGGGGCTCCTGGGGCTCTAGTACCCCCAACTATCCCTGCTTCCCACACGGTAGGTCTCAGTGAGACTCTGAGCGGGGCGCTTTCCACTGTCCTTTGGTTGTCACCCTCCATTCCCCAGAGGGCAACATGGTGCCAGGAGAATACCACGTCTGCACTGGGTGCCACTGAGCCAGTGAAGAGCCCTAACAGCCAAGGGAGGAAGTTAGGATAGGACAAGGAGAGGGGACAGAAAGGAGAACCTATAGGGTTTCACCATCTTACCCAATGACCCAGCTCTTCGTGCGCCCTCCTGGGGGTGGGTTTTGAGGGGTACGCAGCCCTCTGACCTCTGCCGCCAACCCCAGCCAGGCAGGGCCCTATCTCACCGCCCAGTCACCAGGAGTCCAGGGCACACCTGTGCTTGCAGCGGCCAGGACGGAGCCCACCCCACGAGAAGGGGAACAGGTCCCGGGCACACCTCGGGAGAGGTGACAGGCCACTTGTCCCTGAGCCCACAGGGTAGTGGCCCAGCCCAAAACACCAGCCCCGAGCCCTATTGGGACACAGGTGTCCGGAGCAGGGGTCCCAGGCACAGGCCCTTCCAAGGCCGGACACACGTGCCCTGCTCAGACTAAGCAGGGGACCACGGGCTGGTGGCCTCCTGTGCAGAGCAGGCCCCAGAAGGAAGCTGTAAGCTCAGGCAGGACTGGGCACAGGGTTTCCAGCACAGCAAGCAGCCCTCGGCCCCCAACAGACGGCATCAGCCTGGCCAGACACCTCACCTCCGCCTCCTGGCCGCCCTGTGCCCCAGGCAATCTGGGAGGGGTGGGCAGGACTGGGCCCAGTGAGGAGCAGAAAGCCCCATGGGGAGACCAGGGAGAGCCAGGGTCCCGAGCTGGTGGGGGCCCACACAACACAGGACACCAGCCACAGGAGGGTCATGGGGAAGAGGCCCAGGGCCACCCAGGGCTCCGAGAGACAGGGCATCATGGCACAGGTCCCCCAAGTGCCTGGGTGCACCCCATCCCCACAAAGGGCCAGTGTGTGACATTTCCTGACACGACACCCAGGGCAGAGGCCACACAGGCCAGGACCCTCTGACCTCAGACGTCACTGATCCAAAGCAGGCAGCGCCGGAGGTGTGGGCAGCACCTTGGGAACAGGATGTCCCCAGAGAGGAGTCCTGTCCCCTCCCACCCCAGGTCCCCTGTGGGCAGAAAGGTACCCCGGAGCAGGAGCACCGGCTTCTGACTGCCCGGGAACAGCCTTGGAGGCTCTGGGCACAGGTGCCTGAGGGCGGCCACCCTAGGCACTACCTGGGACAGGGCATACTGGGGTGGCTCCTGGCACCCCCGGTTCTGGGACCCTGGTCACAGCGCTTGGAGCAGCTGCCCTGGGAAGCGGGAGGGAGGGTGCCGCGGGGCCAGAGGCCATCTGCCAGGTCGGGGCGGTGCAGGGTGGGGGGTGCAGTGGGGATGATGCGCATCTGCAGAGCAGGCCACGGGGACGGCACGGCCTGGCAAGGTGCCGGGCAGCTGGGAGGGGGCGCGGCCCCTCCCTGGTCCTCAGCCAGATCCCCAGGGCTGGGAAAGGCGAAGTGGCTATGTCAACACGAGGGGACAGGTGGGACATCGAGGGGACACGTGGCCCAGGAGAGCGGTGGCATACTGAGCTCGAGTGTGTCTTGGGGAGCCCAGGACCCTTGGGCTGACACCCTGGCTGAGGGACTGTCCCTGCCACGTCAGGTCCCACTGGGGAGGAGAAGGCACAGCCCTCTGCCTGCCCCCACGCCCAGCTTCAAGATGGGCAAGGCGGTTTGGGGGGTGGTCAGGAGCTGTCACCGGAGGCCAGGGGGTGCCCAGCGGTGACAACCAACAGGAAAAGTATGCGCCAGCCGCAGACACTGCGTGACCAACTCCGAGCCACCCAGGCGTCATCAGCGGGAAGTCCCCTGGCCAGGGAGCAGCAAGCAGGAAGGAGGCCACTGTCACCAGAGAAAGGTGACAGAGAGGGTCTTCGGGCCCAGAGGAAAGCCCCCGCCTGCCCACGCCCCAGGCCCCAAGGGTCCCGGTGTGAGATGTCAGAGTCCAGGGCCCAGAC